ACTGAGCCACCCAGGCACCCAATAAATAAAATCTTAAAAAAAAAAAAGAAAAGAAAAGAATTTTGAGATGGGGAAATTATTCTGGATTGTCCGGATGAGCCTAATGTGATCACACAGGTCCTTATCAGAGAGAGGCAGGGGGAGATTGGACTGCAGAAGAAGGCAAGATGCGACGAGCATTACAGGTGGAGGAAGGAGCCAAGAACCAAGGAATGCAAGGAATGCAGTTCTAGGAGCTGGAAAAGCAAGGAAAGGGATTTCCCCCACAAAGGCTCCTGAGGGAGGAGCACAATCCAGCTGACATGTCGATTCCGGCATAGTGAAACTGATTTTGGACTTCTGCCCTCCCAAACTGTTAGAGAATAAATTTGTGTCAAGTCACCAAGTTTGTGTTACACCAGTGATAGGAAATGAATACACCTACCAAAATCTAAAGTTAATAAAAACATTGTTTGCCTCCCAGATGATACAAGGACTTAAGAGCACTTGACCGCCATGGAGTCATGACTCAGTTCTGAGTTATTACTGTCTAGTGTTTTATGTCTGTCGAGGCTTTTTTCTTTATAACCCCATAGACATTATTTTATATATAATCAATGTTTGCGTTTACCACTTTATTTGTCCATTCCTTCTTACATCTCAGGCTTCTCCCTGGTCTCACTTTCCTTCTGCCTGAAGTACATCCTTTACTAGAGTCAGGATAGGATGAGGCGCGTGAGGCTCCAGGGGTACAGAATTTCAGGAGGAGCTCCTGCTCAGGGGTGTAGGGGCTGTAGTCTGGAGAATTTATTCTAACTTAAGCTCCCTACTTCTCTCTATGATTGTGTTTTATCTGTTAAACTTATCCATTGAATTTTAATTTTTGATGATTGTCTTTTCTTCATATACACACACACACACAGGTTTAATGCAATTCATATCAAAATTCCAGCTTATCATATGTGCTATGGCACTTTTTATATTTTGTTACTTCCTGCAGATATTTAAAATCTCATCTTTAATTTTTTTTTAACATAGTAGGCACACCCATAATTGAAACTGACATCTTCAGTGCCTGACCCTCGTGGGTCTGTTGCTCTGACTCATGTGTCTGCTGGCTCTCATACATGGTGTGCCTTATTTCCTTGTATGCCTGGTGAGTTTGCTGCTCTTTGCCCTTTGTGGCCTATAATGAAGTGCCTTTATCTAGGGAGGATTTATTTGCTTCTGCTAGGTGCCTGGGGCCTATGAGGGAGTCCAGATCATTTTTGAAAAAAAAAATTTTTTTTAAGATTTTTATTTGGTTAGTTTTTAAGTAATCTCTACACCCAGTGTGGGGCTTGAACTCATAACCCCAAGACCAAGAGTCACACTTGGTCCAACTGAGCCAGCCAGGTGCCCCGAGTCCAGGATCATTTTAAATGAAATCCATAGCCTGAGATTTTTGGGGGGACCACTCCGGTGATACGAACTTGGGTTGCAGATCATGGGATTTTAATTTGTCAGGGTAAATGATGTTCCCTTTTCTGCTAAACACCAAGGTATTTTTTCCCTCAGGCCCCCTGTTTGAGGAAAGAGAGAATTGTCCAGTAGGTGTAGCCTTTTGGGGCCCCAGCTTTATGGGGAGGAGTCACCTATTGAGCACATCAGCTTATACTGGCTTTTTTTTTTTTTTAAACCCATGAGCCCATGAGGAAGAAGATTCCAGCCCACATTTGCTAGTTTTGGCAAATACCTCAGGACCCAGGTAGTTAAGGTATTGTGATAACCTCTCCCTCTCTTGAGTTCTTGCCTTAGTTTTAGGCCTGAAAGTTCCTTATTATCTTGTTTGCTCTTTGATGCTTTTAGGACCATTTAGCCTGGGTGTCCAGCTGGCTCAGTCGGTAGACTGTGTGATTCTTGATCTTGGGGTTGTAAGTTCAAGCCCCACGTTGGGTGTAGAGCTTACTTAATTAAAAACATTGAAAAGAAAAACCCCAACTATTTAAACCATTTTGCCCAGCATTTTTAGTTAGCTGTAAATGAAACTATAGCCACTTTTCCCAGGTTGGAAATGGCAGCTCAGAACAGGCCATCTTGGAGCAATGACAGGGGCCCAGAGCCCTGAAGGAAGAGCTGGGTGTACCTGGAGGAAGCATTCCCCCCCCCCACTCCCCCATCCCCGGCCACACACACACACACACACACACACACACACACACAAAATAAAGATAGAAAAAAATGGGCAAGTAATTCCAGTGCCCAAAATGACCTCAAAGTCTTCTATGGATTTACATTAGAAGGGCTTCTATGGGCTAATCTGATGAAGAATGCCACAGTAGGAAAACGGGAAAGGACACAGGTGGGCAGTTCACACATTCACCTTCACTAGTAGTCAAAGGGGAGCTGCCAACCCCTGTGGAGGGATGCAGGCACTCTCCTCCTGCTGGCAAAGCTGTAACGGAAGGCAATTTGGGCAATGAGCATACCATACACCCCAGAAATTCCACTTCTATAAAAATCCCCCAAGACAATAGTTGTGTGAATGTTTCTGTAATCAAAGTTTAGCTACAGATGTTCAGAGCAAGATTTTCTGCAAATTATTTGTAAAAATGAAAAATCACTCATACCCCAACCTACTTCCTTTTCTGGGATTATGTGAAATGTGGTGAAAGCTTCTTGGTCTCTTTGGTCTCAGGCCTGTGAAAAATGCTGCTAACATTCAGTGTATAATGTCAAGTCTTGTGATCGTACCAGTGTGAAGGTGGATCTGTGTTCTACACACTGACCCACAGCATGATCTGATACGTGAACGTCTTGGCCAGCAGCGTTCGCTGTCTGTGCTCAGAAGCTGACTTCATTCTCTGTAATGGCTACACACAGTGGTCCCTTGCAACACAGTTCAACTTCTTTTCCACTGGTGAATGTGTTGGTTGTGCACCATATTTTCTTATTTTTAAACATTTTTCAGTTCTAATAAATGATTGTGCAAAGAACATCACTGTACATACATCTTTACATATGTGTGCCACTGTTTTCTGTAGGATAAATTCCCAAAAGCGATATTGCAGGCTTAGAGAATTTGCACTGGTTTTTTGTTTTGTTTTGTTTTGTTTAACTGGTTGCTTTATCTGTTAAACTTATCCATTGAATTTTAATTTTTGATTAATCTTGAATGGCCACCACCAGGCTTCAGGAGGTGCTGGGCTCATCAGAGACCCCCCGCCCCAACACACACACACACCAGGTCCCCCCCCCCCCCCCAGACTAGGCAGGCTGCAGCAAGAAGCAGCAATTGGGTTCTTTTATATCCAAATAGCAAAACACCAAAAAGGAAGTTCAGAGAACCCCACTCTTTACTACCCAAGCCTCAAGCAAGCCTTCCTGACACCCTGAAACCGTGTGCCTTGCAACGAGTGTAAAATAAACTTGTAGTCATGGGTGGCCACCAGCGAGCTGCTGAGCGGATGGCTGCCATGCTGTCGCTCGTGGGCTGGCAACCTCCCGAGGGCCTCGACGTGCAATCGCAGGTGGCGGGAACCGGGACACTAGGCCATGGAGCCCATTAGTAGAGGAGACTGCCGGAGGCTGCTCCACAACCAAAGTGTGCCCCGGGGTGCACTTTTTGGATTTAAAGGATCTAGCCATTGATGAGTGGAGACTGCCCGTATTAGCTCATGGTAAATTTTCAGGAATTCTGAGAGCATCACTATTAAAAAACTAGGGGTGCCTGGGTGGCTCAGTCCGTTAAGCGTCTGCCTTTGGCTCAGGTCATGATCTCAGGGTCCTGGGATCGATCCCCATGTTGGGCTCCTTGCTTGGCGGGAAGCCTGCTTCTCCCTCTCCCTTTGCCGCTCCCCCTGCTTCCCCTGCTTGTGCTCTCTCTCTCTGACAAATAAATAAAATAAAAAAAAATTAAATTGTATTAATTTACAAATAAATAGGTTATGTTAAAAACAAAAGTAATAAATACTGAAAACTCATTACTTTTAATTAAGTTACAAGTTACTATTATCTATGTTCTTATTCTCTGTGTTCACCTCTATTTATTTTGTATTTGGACAGTGGAAATACAACACAATGGCAGATACTATGCATCTCTTCCTAATTTTCCATTCAGTGATAGCATATTGATAACTTGAAATCAACCATGATGGCACCATGGAAACTGGCAAATGCTACAAATTAGCCCCCTTCCCCATTTTCCAGAGTGCCAGTCATTAGACACTCACCAGCTCACAACTGTATACAACTGAATTACCTTCCCAAAAAGTCATTCTTTTTTTTTTAGATTTTATTTATTTGAGAGAGAGTGAGCACACAAGCAGGGGTGGGGGCAGAGAGAAAGGGAGCAGCAGACCCCCAGCTGAGCAGGGAACCTCATGCAGGGCTGGATCCCAGGACCCTGAGATCATGACCTGGGCACTTAACCGACTGAGCCACCCAGGAGTCCCCCAAAAGATCATTCTAAGTTACACTTCTACCAGAAGTGTATTAAATCTTGCCTTTTTAATATTTTTTCATGCTAAGTGTCTTGTTAAAAAGCATTTTAACATGCACGTCTTTGAGGATCATTGCAAATGTCTCTTGGCCATCGGTACACTGTGAGTTGCCTATTAATTCTTTGGCTTATTTTTCTATTGGGTTGACTAGCTTAAAAAAAAAGGTGGGGGAAGGAAAAAGGTTGTGGAGGTCTGTCTTGTATAAGAGAAGTAATAACCCTTCGACTGCCATCTGTGGCAAATATTTTTCTCTAATTCCTCTTTTAACTGTGCTGTTTTTCATGGTTTTTTTTCCTCCCCATACCGAGGTTTTTTCCTCTCTCTATAGTCCAATGTGTCCACTTTTTCCAGTGTCACTTTGAGGATACCATTTAAGAAAAGCATGTCTAAATGTTCCTGGAAGGACCTGAAAGGCTACACATTAAATGTTAGCTTGTTGCATGTCTGCATGGGATTGCTACTGCCCGTGTGTGTGTGTGTGTGTGTGTGTCACACGCATGCTCTTAATCTGACCCCCATATCCTCCCCATTTGTTCACAGTTTCCCCATGTGTCAAGTGGGAGCTGAAGAAATAATGAATGTGCTGGACCCACTGGGATACAGAGGAAGGTGCAGTAAGTGGGGTATTTTCTGAAGTTTCTGCAATGACTGATTGATTTTGAGAGGAAAAATATAAAAACACACGCTCTGACGTCTGTCTCCTTTCAAGTGTGGGATGCAGGCAGGGCTCCAGCCTGCCTCCTTGATGCACCTTGTCTGCTACACGGCTCCAGCCATCCAACCAGGTCCAGGGTCTGGCGGAGGGGCTTTCACACCCATCCTCCAGGGCCCCCAGGCCCCTCCCCCCAGGGCCCCCCAGGCCCCTCCTTCCAGGGAACCCCCCCGGCCCGCCCCTCCAAGACTCCCAGACCCCTCCAAGGCGCCCAGGCCCTTCCTTCCAGGGCCCCCAGGCCCCTCCCTCCAGGGCTCCCCCCAGGCCTGCCCATCCAGGGCCCCCAGGCCCCTCCCTCCAAGGCCCCCAGGCCCCTCCAAGACCTCCAGGCCTTTCCCTCCAGGGCCCCCCCAGGCCCCTCCCTCCAGGGCCTAGGTCTGCGCAGGTCCCGGGCCGCTCCGGCAGGGGGCGCCGCTCCCTCACGTTCGCCGAGGCTGGCCCCTGCTAGCGGTTCTGGCGGGGTCCGGGGCCAGGCGGAGGGTCCCGACCCCGCGTGCCGGGATCTGGAAGAAGTCCGGACCTCGTTGGCCGGGGCACTACTAAGAGTCCCAAGCTCGCCTCAGGCGCCGGGGGTGGGGGCGACCTGATCCTCCCCTCGACCGCCCGGGGCGCCCAGAGGGCAGCCAGGGGCGCGCCCGGGTCTGACGACGGTGGGGTGCGACTCCGGCGTTTCTGAGACCCCCACCCCGCAGACCCGCGCGCGCCCCCAGAGAGAACACGCGCGCGCCGGCTGAGGCTTTCTTCCGGGGACTTTACTCGAACTCTGGAACTCGCGGGAGGGGCAGCTGGGGGGTCCTGCGACGCCCCCCTTCGAGTCTAGCCATAGCTGGAGGCCAGCGCCGAGATCACGTGGCTCAGAAACTTGTCCAGCGAGGCGTGCATGGCGGGGCCGAAGTCTCCGGGGTAGTGCCGGGCGAGGGTCACCAGCAGGCAATGGCCCAGGAACTGCGGGGAGAGGGAGTCGTCCCGCCCGGAGCCACCTTTCCCCCACCCCCTTCCTCGGCGACAGCCGGTCCAGCGCCGGCCCGCGTGCTCACCTTGAAGTTGACGGGGTCCACACGCAGCTGGTGCGCGTGCAGGTCGCTCAGAGCCGACAGGGCGCCTGGCAGGTCATCCATGTGGGCCACAGCGGTGGTCAGCGCGTCGGCCACCTTCTTGCCGTGGGCCTTGACCTGGGCGGAGCCGGGGCTCAGATCGAAGTGGGCGAAGTAGGTCTTGGTGGTGGGGAAGGCCATGAAGGTCCTGCGGGAGGGAGGGCGAGTGAGGTGCGGCCCGGGGGAGGAAGCTTGGGGAGAAGGGGCACCCGGAGCGGCGGGGGGCACCCGGAGCGGCGGGGGGCACCCGGAGCGGCGGGCGCAAAGCCCGGGAGCCGGTGGGGCGCTGGGGCCTGTTGGCCCGCACCTCTCCAGGGCCTCGGTCGCGTAGATCCCGACATTACTCCCCAGCTTCCTCCACAGTGCGCGCACTGCCGCCCGGTCCGCGGCGGACAGCACCATCGCGGAGCCTGCGTCCAGCCGCGCGCGCCCCGCGCCCTGTCACTGCCCCTGCGCGACCGGTGGTTTCTCTGCGCCCCCCCGCCCGTAGCCTGCAGGGGGCGCCGCGCCGCGTCCGCGCCGCACCTCTGCTGGTAGAGTCGGGTTCTGAGGGGTCCCGGAGCCTGGGACCTTCCCCATGGCCATGCACCGCGCGACCCCACTTTTGTAGTGTTTACTATATGGAAAGTAATAGTTTATTATTATTATCGTTAGTATTAGGGGACACTGAATTTTAGCGTGGATTTTGACATTGATCGTCAGCTTATTCTCCCTCCCTTCCTCCAGAGCCTATTATGACACTCTCGGAGTCTGTTTTCACATTTATTGTGTAAAATGAACATAAAAATGTCCTCTTCCCAAAACCGTTGTGAGAATTAAGTGGGTAACAAATGTCAAGCGCCTGGCTCATAGCAGATATTCCTTTCAGGACAGTAAACATTTATTAAATGCCTCGGATGTATGTCAAAAGTAATACCTGATACCTATACCGGGCACTCACTCTGTGCCAGGCACCACTCTACGCATTAATAAAATGGGGGGGGGAGCGCCTCGTGGCTCAGTTGGTTACTCCACTGACTCAATCTCAGCTCAAGTCTTGATCTCAGGGTCCTGAGGTCAAGTCCCATGTTGGGCTCCACGCTGGCTGTGGAGCCTACTTAAAACATATTGTTTTTTGGTAAAATTAATATAACATAAAGTTACCATATTAGCCATTTTATTTTATTTTTGAGAGGGAGAGAGAGAGCAGAAGGGCAGAGAAGAGAGAGAGAATCTTAAGCTAGGTGTAGAGCCCGATGCCAGGCTCCATCTCACAAACTTGAGATCATGACCTGAGCTGAAATCAAGAGTCTGATAACTGCCTGAGCCACGCAGGCGCCCCCCCCCCCCATATAAGCCATTTTGAAGTGTACAATTCAGTGTCTTTAACCACCTTCACAATGTTGGGCAACCACCACTATCATCATCCCAAATGGAAACTTTGTCCCCATTAGCAGTCACTCCATAACCCTTCTCCTCCAGTCCCACCAGTCTGCTCTCTGTCTCTGTGGATTTGCTGATTCTGGATATTTCATGTGAATGGAATCACACACTTCTCTGTGTGGCTTCTTTCATTTAGCGTCATATCCGGGTTCCTTCACGCTGTGGGCTGTGTCAGTGAGCACTTCATAGCTCTTAATGGCTAAATAATATTCCACTGTATGGATAGACTGTGTTTTGTTTATCCATTCATCCCCTGATGGACATTTGGGTTGTTTCCACTTTTAGCCCAGGCCCTCCTGGGCTAAATAAAAATAAAAATTTTTTTTAATAATAATAAATAATTTTTCCTAATAATAAAAGAAGGAAGACTGCCTCTTACTGAGAGCTCGTACTGTGCCCCCAGCTGTGCTAAAAGTATCACAAACTCAGGCAGAGACCTGCCATCTCATTTTCCAAGGATGACTCTTGGACCCAGAGAAGAAAAGACATTGCTGTTAGTTGAACAGGGCTCGGGCCTGGATGGCTGCCGGGACCAGACGCCTAAGGCGCTAGGGGCTTGCTCTGAGGGGAGGAAGCACGTGGAAGTGCTGACTCCCAGGACCTGGCTCTTCTCCCTTGCAGTGTGTGTATGTGTGGGGGGGAGTTGGTGGGCCTCTGGGCTATGCAGTAACTGCTGAGCTGGCCCCCAAAACCAGGCCTCCAGATCCACAAAGCCCCAGGATGTCAGTATCTTCAGAGGGAGTGTCCTGGAAGTGACACCAGGAGAAAGAGGCACCACCAGGAAATCACCTGGCTTCTGCAATTGCACTGCTCATGCCGATTCCATCTAGACTGTGTGTGTACTTGGGAAGCACTTGATGGGTAGGGGCCATTCCGTGAGACTCCAGGAGCCTGACCTCTGGTCTTCCCCACCACCCAACTTCAGGGAGAGCAGTGGGAGACCTCAGAAGTCCAGGCTGGAGACCATCAACTCTCAGACCAAGTGTGTGTCATAAAATGTAAAGATGGAAACCCGGTTCATCATTTCAGCAAATGGGAGCGGAATCTGCAAAGTTCTGAAATGAAACGCGGGACATGGAATGCACGCAAGGGACCACTCCAGGTGCAGATGGGGAATCCCAAGCAGTGGCAGCAGAACCCACCCCACTCCCCTCCTCTGCCCTTTTCTTGCCTTCCCTCTCCTGGACGCTGCGGACAGGTCCCTGGTGGAAGCGAGGAGACCCCCCCCCCCCCGCCCCCTCCGGGCGCCGCGGCACGTTCGCAGACAAAGAGAACGGAGGCGTACAGAGGCTGCAGCCCACTCAGACTTTATTCAAAGATCGGGAAGTTGAGATGCGCCGAGCGCGAGAGAGCCTCGGGTCGGGGGCAGGGGGACCGCCGCGGCTTCAGCTTAACGGTATTTGGAGGTCAACACGGTGCTCACGGTGCTGAAGAACTTGTCCAGGGAGGCGTGGACCGCAGGGGTGAATTCCGCGGGGTGGTGGCTGGCCAGGGTCACCAGCAGGCAGTGGCTCAGGAGCTGCGGAGAGAAGGGACGTCAGCGGCCGCCCGCGCTCCACCTTCCGGAGCCCGGGGGCCGTCTGCCCTGCTAGCAGGCCCCGCTGCGCCCTCCTGCCCCAGATCTCTCCGGGCCGGCCCGCGTGCTCACCTTGAAGTTGATGGGGTCCACACGCAGCTTGTACGCGTGCAGGTCGCTCAGAGACGACAGGGCACCTGGCAGGTCATCTATGTGGGCCACAGCGGTGGTCAGCGCGTCGGCCACCTTCTTGCCGTGGGCCTTGACCTGGGCGGAGCCGGGGCTCAGGTCGAAGTGGGGGAAGTAGGTCTTGGTGGTGGGGAAGGCCATGAAGGTCCTGCGGGAGGAAGGGTTGGGCGAGCCAGGGTTAGGTGGGGCGGTGGAGGACAAGGGTCGTGAGGGGTCCCCGAGCCCTGATCCCAACAGGGGAGGGTTGGGTCCTCACCTCTCCAGAGCCTCTCCGCCATACTCGCCAGCATGGCCGCCAATCTTATCCCAGGCGTTCTTGACGTTGGTCTTGTCGGCAGGAGACAGCACCATGGTGGGTTCTTTCTGAGTCTGTGTGAGGACCAGAAATGCGCCGGGCGGGGAGTGTGCGGAGCATTTATGCCTGGGGCGCGAGGGGCACGCCCGCCCGGGCCGCGCTCATTGGCTGGCGAGGGGCCCGGCTTCACGGCGGGGTCGGCCGGCAGGGGGTGACCGCGAGCGGCCAGAGCCTGCCTGGCGCGGTGGGGGCTTTGCTGCAGGCTTGGGGAGGGTCTGGGTGTCTCCCTCCCACCCGCTTCTTCACGCCCCTGCCTCCACCGCCCCTGGAAGTGATATCCCGGCCCCCCAGCTGGTGGGGGCTGGTTGAGGGGGGTCGATGCCCGCTCTTCCAACACTTGAGCTCAGTAACACCCTTCAGGGTCCCTGAGCGCCCCTAGCCCTGGGCTGCCCTCTCCTGAGGATCGGAAGGGAGTAGTCAGTTTGTGCCACCTAACCTGATCTAGGCTTGGCACTCACGACACGGGTATTAATTTGAGCGGAGTCAGTGAAGGAACGTGCGGTTGATGGTGGAAAGAAAGGCCTCGCCTAGTCCAGGGTGGAGAGAGATGTGCACCCAACGGGGTCCTCTCTCGGATGTAGTCAAGAATTCTCGCAGGGAATCCCTCCTGCTCTCCTCAGACTTGGTTCTTCTAACCCCCTTTCTTTACACAAATAATCACTGAGTGCAGTCACAGTCAGAACTGAGAAGGAACAAATACCAAGGGGCAGAATTACAGGGCTGGGGTGGGAGGGTTCCAGGCTCAAGATCCTTCTTCCAGGGTGGTGGTCGCTGCAGTCCCAGATCTGGGACTCACAGAGGCGGCCCTCTCCTATTTTGGACCTTGTTTGAGCGACTGTCCCTCCACCCCCCCATCCTCCCATCCACCCCCCTTCCTGAGTCACAATGACACACCCAGTGCTGCAAATTGTTCCTGAGGAGACTCACTAGGCAAATAGTGGCTAAGTGGATGCACAAGGCCTGAGCTTCCAACCTGGTCAGGGACCGTCACCAAATCATCACACAAGCACACATAGAGTGGAAGAGCTTGTTAAAAGACCCAAGGAAGCATGGAGAGAGTGGATGAGGCATTCACGGAGAATCAGGGTTAGTCTGAAGATCATGGTGGACACCACCCTCTGTCCCCATTCCTCTCCTAGGACCCTCCCTCAAGACCTGCCCTGTGTGTCCAGGAGGAAGTAATGGTCAAACTGACTGGGACAGAGAAGAAAGAGGCTCCAGACAAGCCTCAGCACTTCTCCCTTCTGCGCTGCCTCCTTGTGTCTGTTCTTCTCATTTTGTTCACACGGGACCCTCCTCCCAGCTCATTCCACTTTCCCTTCCTACCCTCTACCCTTTTCCTGATTCTGTCACAGCCAAAGGCCCAATTCTGGCCTCCCAAAAAGGATAAGACACAGGGGGGGACAATCCCCCTTCTGCATCTTGTTCTAATCCTCCTGACACTGAGTCCTTTTGAGGCAAGACTTGGGGAACATATCTTAGCCAAGGGCTTACATTCCTAATATGGGAAGAGCTTCTCTCTCTATATATATATACACACCCACACATATATATGAAAAAACAAATGACTTACAGGAACAATTGACAAAGGTTATTAACAGGAAATTAACAGAAATATAGAAATGACCAATAATGGGGGCCTGGGTGGTGCAGTCAGTTAGGCATCTGACTCTTGCTTTAGGCTCAGATGATGATCTCAGGGTTGTGAGATCGAGCCCCGTGTTGCGCTCCATGCTGAGTGTGGAGTCTGCTTGAGGTTCTCTCTCCTCCCTCTACCCCTCCCTCTGCTCGCACGCACACTCTCTCTCTAAAATAAATACATAAATGTGTGTCTGTCTGTGTGTGTGTGTGTATGTGTGTTTAATGACCAATAAATCTGTGAAATGAGAAAGAGCTGAATAAACTGCTGGAAGAGATGTAGTGGAGACAGCTCATTGAGAAGAGCAGGTTGCAGAAAAATACCTAGGGTGTGATATTTTTGACCAAAAACAAAACAAAACAAAAGAGTGTAGTTGTAGATGTAGCTGTGTCCCCTCAGCACAGGGTAGAAGCCAGGAGGCTCAGCCCCAAACCATTCACTTGTCCTATTGCTGCAGGGGTGGGGGGCGGGGCAGAGGGGCTCTCTTTCCCTACTTTGAATAACACCAAGTGTGGGGCGGGGGTGGGGGGTGGAGAGAAAGCACGGGCATGTTTTAGTTTATTTCTTGAGTGTTTTCTACATTTAAATAAAAATGAATTGGGCTCAAGGGCAGAGGACGGGTGCAAGGTGGAGGCGAGGAAGCAAATTCTCAGCTGTTCAGAAAGGTCCATGTCCAAAAAGAAAGTGGGGAGCAGGGGGCTCTGCCACCGGCCAGCCGCAAGCTTGCCCAGGGCTGCATGTTGCCCTGGACACCAGGCTGGGCTGCAGGCACCGACACGGACCTAATTAGGGTGGTTGCAGAGCCGGATGGGGTGTGCGAAGTGGAGTCCAGGGCTTCAGCACTTTGCCAGGGGCAAAGGCAGAACTTCTGGGAGACCCCAGGAGCCTCGGGCTATTGAGTAGGGGGAGCAGTGAGCTGGGGGACACAGGGCTGCACACACAGTGAGCTGTTGATGTGCCTCACAGGAACAAGGGAGCAACGTACTCTGCTAAAGCGCTTCCCCAAGTGCATCCTGACTGCTTCACCCAGCTCATGCCCCACTCTTCTTCCCTGACTCTATCCCCACCTCCAACCTCAGAGTGTTCCTGTGACCCAGGAAGGGTGCAGGGAACTGTGACCCCCTTTCCAACCCACCTTCCCTTGGATAGGAAGGAGGTGGGAATCTCATACAAATTGTCCAGCACCCACAGTTGCAGAGGAATGGTGTATTTTTGTGGTTTTTATTTTTGCTCTGTTTTGTTTTAATCTAGACCGTTTAACCAGCATCATCAGTCAGAGAGACTTCAAAAGAGGGTGGGGGGGGGCCCTTGGGGACTCAGTCCCTTGGCCGTCAGACTCTTGGTTGTCGCTCAGGTCCTGATCTCAGGGTCAATAGATCGAGCCCCACGAGGGCTCAGAGCTCAGCACGCAGTCTGCTTGTCTCTCTCCCTCTTCCTCCCCTCTTTCTCTCTCTCTCTCTCTCTCTAATTAATTAATTAATTAAAGCTTAAAACAAAAAGAGGTTGGCAAATTTAGGACTCCCCTATCTCTCACTCCAGAGAGGAACCCTTGGAATTCTGGCACCACCTGGTCCTGAAGCATGAGTTTCCGCCTTAGTTCTGCGGTCCTCCTGGCCCCTGCGGACAGGTCCCTGGTGCGAAGCGAGGAGACCCCCCCGCCCCCTCCCGGCGCCGCGGCACGTTCGCAGACAAAGAGAACGGAGGCGTACAGAGGCTGCAGCCCACTCAGACTTTATTCAAAGATCGGGAAGTTGAGATGCGCCGAGCGCGAGAGAGCCTCGGGTCGGGGGCAGGGGGACCGCCGCGGCTTCAGCTTAACGGTATTTGGAGGTCAACACGGTGCTCACGGTGCTGAAGAACTTGTCCAGGGAGGCGTGGACCGCAGGGGTGAATTCCGCGGGGTGGTGGCTGGCCAGGGTCACCAGCAGGCAGTGGCTCAGGAGCTGCGGAGAGAAGGGACGTCAGCGGCCGCCCGCGCTCCACCTTCCGGAGCCCGGGGGCCGTCTGCCCTGCTAGCAGGCCCCGCTGCGCCCTCCTGCCCCAGATCTCTCCGGGCCGGCCCGCGTGCTCACCTTGAAGTTGATGGGGTCCACACGCAGCTTGTACGCGTGCAGGTCGCTCAGAGACGACAGGGCACCTGGCAGGTCATCTATGTGGGCCACAGCGGTGGTCAGCGCGTCGGCCACCTTCTTGCCGTGGGCCTTGACCTGGGCGGAGCCGGGGCTCAGGTCGAAGTGGGGGAAGTAGGTCTTGGTGGTGGGGAAGGCCATGAAGGTCCTGCGGGAGGAAGGGTTGGGCGAGCCAGGGTTAGGTGGGGCGGTGGAGGACAAGGGTCGTGAGGGGTCCCCGAGCCCTGATCCCAACAGGGGAGGGTTGGGTCCTCACCTCTCCAGAGCCTCTCCGCCATACTCGCCAGCATGGCCGCCAATCTTATCCCAGGCGTTCTTGACGTTGGTCTTGTCGGCAGGAGACAGCACCATGGTGGGTTCTTTCTGAGTCTGTGTGGGGACCAGAAATGCGCCGGGCGGGGAGTGTGCGGAGCATTTATGCCTGGGGCGCGAGGGGCACGCCCGCCCGGGCCGCGCTCATTGGCTGGCCTGGTGCCAGGAGGTGTCCCCAGTGAGTGCTGGTGAGGGTCCCAAGGCCACCCTCTCCCCGTCCAGCGCAGACCAAGATCCAGTTCTCTATGGTACCCTCCATTTCCACTCCTGTGGTTCCAGGGAGGCCACACAGGTTCCTGACCCACCCGCTTTGCACCTGCTTTTGGCTCCGAACCTGGGGTATTTGCTGGTTGGGGAGGAGAGTACAATATTTTCTGAAGTGAAACAAGCTGTTTTCGCACCAAACTTTACCCAGGACCAAGAGCTGTAGATTGTCCATGTAAATAATGAGGGTGAAGGAGATAATGTGGGATCAGGTGCTCCAAGCCCTCCTTCCCCTAATGGTGAGCAGGCACTCCCCACCACCGCAGGGTAACAGGTGCAGGCACCGACTGCAGAGTGGGGTGGGTAGTTCGGCGGAGGCACCATCAGGGCTTACCCTCTGGCATCCTTCGGACTTGGGCGCATCTGGTCAGGTCGGGCTCAGTGCTCCCTGCACCCACGGAGATTGTTAGCGGGAACCTTCCTCATTCAGAATCTAGAGCTCCCCGAGTCCCTCTCCCTGGCCTCGTTCTGTTGTCAGAGAAGGTTCTCAGTAGAGCGCTAAGATTCCTGCCCCAATGTCAGGGAGGGGGGAGAGATTGACCCTGGGGACTGGGTCTGGGGGTGAAGGAGAGGAACGCCTTGGTTGGGGGACCCACAGAGACTGAAAGGTTTGGCTGGGGCTGGAGTGGAGGTTGGGTGGCCCTGGGCCTGCCAGGTACTGACCCTGCTTTATGATCTTATAAATTACTTCAAAGACCCAGCGAGGGGTCAGCTTTTTGTTTGTTTGTGTTTACATTGGATGCATTAGGGTCAGATTGCTCCTGGACATGTCCAGTATCACAGAGCTGTTGTGTGAACGGGGTTAGAAACCTGCTCTGTCTGCCTGATCGTGGCCATCGGGACCCCAGTCCCCCACCCCAGGAGATTCAGAGGAAGGGGCTAACTTGGCTAGGGCAAAGTTCACTGCCGACTGAGTGCCAGGGGGAGGGGAGGAAGCAAAGAAGGTCAGAGGGGTCCTGGCCCCTAACTCTGACCTCTGGCCAGGAACTTGACCCTTGGTCCTAGGTGCCTGCATTTGTCTGCCAGAGGTGAGGATTCCAGCTGGTAGCCCCCAGCGAAAGGGATGGAGGGAGAATGAATGAATGATTGAATGAATGCAAACGTGCTTTGTGAACGGTGTGTCACCGTGGGTGTGTTGGAAATAAACTGCACCCTGAGAACCTTCCTCATCTTAGCACCCACCTGCCCCCCCCATTTCCCCATCACAGGAGGGCAATTGTTTTGTTCAAGTCTTTGGGGATCCACACCCTGCCCAGACCCGGGAACGTCAACCCAGGAACTGTCCCCATTTGAGAGTCCTGGGCCCCTGTTCCTTTGTGCGCAGAGGTCTGGGATCGCGCCCTAAGATTCCGGGAGGCTCCACACGGGACCCGGAGGTTCTCTGCCAAGGCGCAATAACCTCAGCCCACCAGCTCCCCAAAGACCACACACGCGCAGGGTCCGGCCGTTTGAGGCCTGTTTATTGACATACAGAGATCTAAGCCGGCGGGGCAGGGGACTCAGCGGTACTTCTCGGTCAGCACCACCGCCACGCCGGTCAAGAACTTATCCCATGCCGCCTGCATCTCTACGGTGAACTCGCCCTGCAGGTGGGAGGCCAGCACCACCTGGAAACACTGGATCAGCAGCTGTGGGAGAAGGGGCGGATGAAAGGGGGACTGCCTTTGCCAATTCCCTGTCCAGCCCCAACCCCGGCTGCGCGCGCGCGAACCCTACGGAGGCCCGGGCGGGCTCACAGGGAAGTTGGAGGGGTCCACGCGTAGCACTTGCGCGTGCAGGTCGGCGAGCGGGCTCAGCGCCGCGCGCAGGTTGTCCATGTGCTGCACGGCCACGCCCACTGCCTCGAGCATGCGTTGTCCGTGGGTCAGCAGCTGAGTCTCGTCAGGGCAGAAGCCCAGGTGCTTGAAGTAGCTCTTGGTGCTGGGGTAGACGGTGAAGAGCCTGACGGAGCAGGTCGGTGAGTGAGGAGGGCGGCCGCCTGGGGTCCTCCCAGCGCCTGCACTGCCCAGACACCCGGAAATCTCCCGCCTCGGCCGCTCCTCGGACTCCGGCCCCAACCCCCTGTGACCGCCTCCCTGCGAGCCTGGAAACCCCGCCTCAACCCACCTGAGCAGCAGCTCCGCCCCAAAGGACGCCTCGTGGCCAGCGATCAGGTCCCAGACCTGCGCCACCTGGATGCGCTCTTGGGCGCTGAGCATGGCGCTGGCGGGGCGTGCTCTGGGGGCCCCTCCCGCCGCGCCGGCCTCCTTATAGCCTCCTCACACCCCAGGCACCCCGCCTGCCCTTATCGGCAGGACGGCGGCGGGAACGCGGGGACCCTCGGCTAGCACCGGGAAGTGTCTCCAGCCCAGGTCCCGATCGCCGCGGAGGCCACCGCCTGGCGGGGCTCCAGCTTGCCGGCGGTGACTCACGCGGCTGTGCGTGCGTGCTTTTGCTGCAGACTTTAGCTGGATCTGGACTTACTCCCGCGCGGGCAAAGTTAGAACCTCTCCAGGAGGGAGCCAGTGGAGGGATTGGGAGAAAGAGCGCTGGGCAAGGAACCCCCTTTTCCCCGCGGGACGGGGGATCGTATCATGGGTCCCCGCAGCGCGGGAGCTATGACAGCAGGCTTTGAGGAAAAGCCTCCCGAGCGCCGACGCGCACCCAACACGCTGAGTAAAGCAACAATCTTTGGGCGATTTGGGAAGTAGGAGAGGAACAAACGCCTCTTTGACCTGCTCTGCCCCTTCCCGACTCTGGGGTCCGCAGGCGCACGGATCGCCCCACAGCACCCTTGGGGTGGCCTTCAAGCCGCTGGTGACACGGGGGTCGGCCGCATTCCTGCGGCTCTCGCTTTCTTTCACTCCCCCCCTTTCCCGCCAATACTGAACACAGGGGCCACTCCGTCCTCATCCATTTATTGGAGAATCCGGGGAGGAATTACGGAAGGTTCAGGGGCAGGGAAGGGGCCGCAGTCCGCCCTCCGTAGGGCGGCTGCGCTCAGCGGTACTTCTCGGTCAGGACGCAGGACACGATGGACAGGAACTTGTCCCAGGCGGTGTGGGCGTCGGCCGTGAAGTCGGCGGGGAAGTGCGAGGCCACGGTGACCAGCAGACAGTGGGACAGGAGCTGAGGGGCGGGAGCGCGGCTCAGTGAGCGGCCCGGGGGCGGGAGCGCGTGCTCTGGGGGTGGGGCGGAGCACCTTCGGCCGAGACCCCGCCCCTTCCCGCGCTCCCCGTCCCTGCCAGGACCCCAGGCCCCGCGCCCACCTTGAAGTTGACGGGGTCCACGCGCAGAATGTAGGCGTGCAGCTCGCTCAGCTTGGCCAGGGCGCCCGCGACGTTGTCGATGCTCTTGACCGCATCGCCCAGGGCGGCCACCACCTTGGCACCGTGCACGCGCAGGTGCACGGAGCCGGGGCGCAGGTCGAAGTGCGGGAAGTAGGTCTTGGTCTGCGGGTAGCTGGTGAAGAGCCTGCGTGCAGGCATCGTGTGAGTGCCAGAGGAGGGCGGCCTCCCGTCCACCTCCCCAAGATCCCTGCTTCCTTTCCTGAGCCTGAAGACCCAAATGCGACCTCGCCACGGGGCCTGCCAACTCAGCAGCTGCATCGCATTCTTGACACCCACTTTGCTCTCAGACTGCTGCCGCTGGCCCAAGCTTGGTCCCGTGGTCTGGAGGCCCTCTGCCTCCACACCCTCCCAGCACCCAACCTTGCCCCTGCTCCCCACCTCAGCCCTCTTCCAAGGTCTCCTTGCTCCCAGTTGACCCTGCAAACCCACTGTAGGGCTCCAGCCCCTTTTCACCTCTTGTCTGGCCACAGAAACCCCCTTCCCAGCCCCTGACCAGGCTTCCTGATGAACGGTCTGCCAGAAATAATGCCCTCTCCAGCCCTATGGCAAGGAAGATCTCTTCAGGGAAACTACCTGGGATCACCTTCTGGCAGGATTAGAGACCCTGATGTTAGTGCTTGTAGTCTCTTGACTGCCTCCTTAGGCACTTGAGGCCTTGGAAGAAACACATCCATGCTCCTCTGGGAAGATCCTGGGCCTGTCCCTGCTCAGGCCTCAGTGAGCATAGGGTCAGCCAGAAGTCCATGCAGTTCCTCTTCCCTCCTCACTGGTCTCTCCTCGCTGGCCCCTGTCCTCCCTGGCCCCACACCGTCACCTACCTGGCTCCATCCCAGCCCATCTGGCACTCACCTCTCCAGGACCTCAGTGCCAATGGCATCCTCCTGAGTGGAGATCTTGTCCCACATGGACAGGATGATGGTCCTCTCTGCCTTGGTCAGAGACATGGTGGTAGCTGAGCTGGGCGTGCTTAGGACAGGTCTCTGTGGTGCTCGACCCCCAGGATCCCTTTATATACACGGAGCCAGGGTGGGGGCTGGGCTGTGGCCATTGGTCTGGAGAGGGGAGAGGGCTGTGGGGGTGGGGTCTCTTATCAGACCCAGTGAGGGTGGGTGGTCAGGGGCTGGTGGCACTGGTGGGGTGAGGGGTTCTCCGGCCTCCCCCTGCTGGGCCACAGCTAGAGTCCAAGTTGCAGGGAGATAGGGGCCCAGGCCTGGGTGGAGAGTCCACGTGTCGGCCCAGCTGCATGACTGGCCTCCACAGTCATTGTCCCTGACCTCCCTGTCCTTGTGCTGGAAGGGTGACCTAGAACGCGTCAGGATCTCACAGAAGCACTCCCCCTCCTTCCTGTATTTACGCTTCTGCCATGCTGCCTCATGAACCACGTTACAGATGAGTGAACTGAGGTCCACAGAGGGACACTCAAGCCAGCTGTCACAGGGTGCAAGTGACAGTCTTGGCTTCAGACACTCTGCCTCTGCTATGTAGCCCCTTCCCCACCTGGATGAGGTTCTTCTCCCCCAGCAGCTTGACTGGGGACACTCTCCAAGCTGGGCACCCAGGCTGGGAGGAGGCTCAACTCTTGACTCAGAGCCTGGGATTACATGAGTCTCCGCCTGCCGCCTTCCCAGCACAGCTTGTATGGTTTATTTCTATCTCTTTACCCTCCTAGCTCATTCCCTTTCCCTTCTCCCCTATAAGGCAACCCTTCTAATGTGCTTAACATATTCCTTTAGTTAGTATGTGTTATTGCAAAGGGTACATTTTTAGGCGTGTATTTTGAGTTAAATTATAGGTTGATTTTTAAAAATTTAACATAATCATTTCCTCAAGCACACCTTTTTAAAATACAAGAATTTTTTTAGGGGCGCCTGAGTGGCTCAGTCAGTTAAGTGTCTGCCTTCGGCTTGGGTCATGATCCCAGGGTCCTGGGATGGAGGTCTGCTCAGTGGGGAGCCTGTTTCTCCCTCCCTCTGCAGCTCCCCCTGCTTGTGCTCTTTTTCTGTCAAATAAATAAATAAATCTTTTTAAAAAGAAGAAATATAGGAATTAAAAAAAGATTTATTGATTTATTATTTGAGAGAGAGATCGAGAGAGGGAGTCGGGGGAGAGGCGGAGAGAGAGGGAGAGAGAATCTGAAGCAGACTCCACACTGAGTGTGGAGCCCGACACAGGGCTTCATCTCACGACCCTGAGACCACGACCTGAGCAGAAACCAAGAGTCTGATGCTTAACTGACTGAGCCACCCACGTGCCCTGAGCATGGAACTCTTGATCTTGGGGTCGTGAGTTGAGGCCCCACGTTGGGCATAGAGATTAATAAAAAGTGTGTGTGTGTGTGTGTGTGTGTGTAATCACTGAAACTATGCCCGAGAGAGCTCACATGGGGTGAGTTATTCTCCCCATTCCAAAGTCCGGGGCTGCCAGGGTCCTCACCCCCAGCTCTAGAGGGGACCAGTTAGCACTGTGTCCTTAAAGGCTTCCTAAAAGCCACCCTTTCTGTTCATAAAAACAATGCATGGTTCTTTTTTTTTTTTTAAGTTTTTTTTATTTATTTGACAGAGAGAGACAGTGAGAGAGGGAACACAAGCAGGGGGAGTGGGAGAGGGAGAAGCAGGCTTCCCGCTGAGCAGGGAGCCCCATGCGGGGCTCAATCCCAGGACTATGGGATCATGACCTGAGCCGAAGGCAGACAGACGCTTAATGACTGAGCCACCCAGGCGCCCCCAATGCATGGTTCTTTAGACCTCTTGAGGGAGCCTACAGACTATGGAGGTGAATAGAAATCACTTATATCTCACCAGTCATACTAACGTTTTAGTGTTGTTTTCTTCCTTCAGCTGCATTACCTTGAAAATGCGTCTTCATGTACTGCGGTCCAGCACGTGTGGCCCTGTGAGTCAACTTGAACCAGCCATCTGGGAAGCTAAGTCTGAAACCAAAAGTAGCCATTGGAGGCTCACTGTGGGTGCCCTTGCTGGCTGGGTGCCGTCACCATCACTTGAGCAAGTCTGAAGTTTAGCAGAAATTACTTCCACGTCCATGTCTTCACAGAAGATGAGGACAATATTCAGGCCCCAGGCTAGGGAGAGGACCCAGAGGAGGCTGCCAACACTTACCTTGGAAATTCCTCCCAGGAGAGGGTCTCCAGCCAAAATGGAGGGTGGGGAGAGGATTGGAGGGACTCCCAGTGTGCCAGGCCTGTGGAGGGGTGGGGGGGGGAGGAGCATGTAGAGATCGAAGCAACAGTTAATCACTCTGGAGTAGAAATTGGTCTCAGGGTGCCAGCCCTGAGCTCCCTCCTTCCAACCTTGAATCCCCGGAGGTTAGGCAGAGGCAGGGGCTGCAGATGAGACCAACCTTTGGCCCAAGGGTGCCTTGGTGAGAAGGGCTGGGGAGAAGCCAGGGAGGGCCTGAGGGCAGAAGACAGGGACCCTTTCCCCCAGTCCCTAGGGCAGTCCACAGTATCCCTTCCTCCTGCAGGCTGGGGCCTTGGTCTGTACCTCAAGCCCATTCCAGGCATACCTCCCAGACTTTGCCCAATTGGTTAGCATAGCTAAGAGTACCCTTTGCCCCCCAAATTTTCCACCCTTTCTTTCTTCTCCGGGGTAGGCTTGTGTCCTGACCCCCCAAACTTGTGCTGAGGTAGTTTCTCAGTCTCCATCCTATCCCCATCTCTGTCTGCCCTTCATCCACCTCATGACCTTAACCTCCATCTGTGACCTGAGACTCCTGCTGACATCCATGTAGACACCCTTCCTGAGCTCAGACTCTATCCAGGGAGCAAGTCATCACCTCACCTGTGCATCTCCAATGAAGCCCTGATCTTCCCCTCAAAGCCTGTTCTTCCCTGCTCACCTTTCCCCTGGTCCTGGTGGTTCAGGCCAGAGACCACAGGCCTCCTGGACCTTCCTCTCTCATCCCTGAAAATGGCTGTGGTTTCTGATCCTCAGTGAGGGAAAGCCTGCTGCCCCCCTCCTGCTCCCTGCCCTCCCAGCTCTGCTCCCACCCCCTGTCCTCCTCAGTCCCCTGGATCTCTCTTCCCCAATATTGTCACTCACTTAAGTGTCACCGTGTTCATAGGCCCAGAGTGATCACCCCATTTAAAATTGCAACTCCCTACCCCTGTCTGTGCAATCTCCCACCTGTTCTACTTTTTTTTCCCCCTCAGAAAATAACTGTTTTTGTTTATTTTCCAGTAGAATGTGAGCTCCGAAAAGCAGAGAATTTTTGTTTTAGTTTTGTTTCCTGGTCTATTCCAAGAATCCCAGACAGGACTTCCCGGAGCAAGCTCCCCCAAAAGTACTTGTTGAGTGAATTAGTGGTCCTCAACCCTGTGGTTGTCTTCTCTCTGAGCTGGTGGTCCTTCCTGCCCTGCCGCCCAGACAGAGCCCAGGGCTGGGAGCACCATGAATGCTTGGTCATTAGCTGCCCGACAGTGGACAAGGAGGATGTTTCCTCCCTTCATGGGGCTGACCACACACGCAAGTCTTCAGATCCACCGGAACAAACAGGCACTGGTTTTTTGGGATGGGAAGGATCCCTGGGGTCATCTGGGGCCTGGGGGAAACTGAGGCCCAGAGTGGAGGAGAGGCTGGGCACAGTCATAAAGCCCATTGGAGGCAGGGCCAGGGCCTCAAGAGACTCAGACTTGGGCCTCTCCTATGCTGACGCCAAAGGTCCCACTCCTGGCAGGCACCTCCCCGACAACCAGGCACATGGGACCACACCTCATACCCCACACGCATGCTCCTGGGCAGGAGTCCTTCTGGGTCAGAGTCCTCCCTGGAGAAGGGGCTCCCACCTTGGGCACCTCCCCTCAGGACAGAGTCTCTTTGCGGCACTGAGAACCCCCAGGCCCTAACGTCAGGCAAATAGCAAGCACAACCTCCGGCAGGACCCTGAAAGCCCCCAGAAGCCCCATGCGCTCTTCCTGGATTACATTTGACCACCTGTCCTGAGCCAGGCCTGCTCTAACAGCTGCGGGCACAGCAAAGGACACACACAAACACCTGCTGGCCGGAGCTGATGTTCTGGGGAGGAAACTGTACAATACGGTGAGTACAGTAGGT